ATTTCATTTTCTACTGGATTTTTTTAGGTGCACTTGACTTCTACAACATAATTTCCCAACCTTTATATAAATTTTTTTTTATTTATGGGTGAATTTACCTTTTTAAGAGAATATCTAGTATTTTGAATTTTCATATTTTTTTTTTATATCAGATTTGAACATAAAAATTTTCATGTTTATATATATAAAAAATATAAAAAAATGTCTCGATAAAAAATTATTGAAATATTCATACAATATGTATAGGTATTTTTGTTATTTTAGTTATATATATTTATTATTTTTTGTATTTTTACAGGGGCATTGTGGGGAGAAGAAAGCTAACCAAATTCTTAGTTGAACCAAATGCATAATAAAAATTATTAAATTGAACAGGATTTGCTCTTAAAAATAGGACAAAAGCCTGATATATAACAATTATTGGGGATATTTTTTAATTTTAAAACATATAGGGAGATATTTGCATAAATTTTCCCCACTTATAAAGAGTTTTGCTTAATGGAAAGCTTTCTATACACCATTAGGTATAGGGACTTTGTATATACCATCCCCTCTGAGTTGTTTGATCCAAATGGGTGGCTGAGATGACCCCAATTATAATGTCATCCCAATTATAATGTCATGCCTAAATACTATGTTGTTTTTATTTTTTATTGATATCGAATTTGGGGCTTCCAATCTTCTCTCAATCTCGCATCTATCAAAAATATAAAAAAATATTTACGATAAAATAAAATGGCCAACATACCTCTGAAATTATTAGCTCATTATGATTTTTGAAATTATTCTTTTCATATTTTTGGTAGGTATGCCACATTGACACGTACCAAATTTCATATTCATATGATTTGTAGAATGCAAATTAAAAATTAAAACCTCTAAGATGTAAGCTTTAGATCGAATAGTTAGAGGCTCACTAGTAACATTATAATTTAAGCTATTCTATCTATCCATTCAGATTAGCCTTATGGTAGAGAGGGGATGTATAAATTCCCTACACCTTGTGGTGTATATAAAGCTTTCCTTTTACTTAAGGAAAAAGTTTATATGAGGATGCAACCTTAAAATGTAAAATCATGGATGCACCTAAAAAATCCATCCGAAAAGGTAGTTTTAATGTTGAAAAACCATTTGATTGATCATATCGACATCGAGATGTATGACCATGAAAAATAAAAATATTTTAAGTCTAAAAAATAGTGCATTTTACAACATATTATCTATACCGTACATTTTCAAGATTTTCATATGTTTATAGATCTGCTTGATTTTAACCATTTTTTAAATTTAATTAGATATAAAAACAGATTTTGAGATAATCCTAAGGACATTTTACATCAAAATTATATACCATGATAAAATTTGACGGTGCATCTTACCTGTACAGCTACGGATGCATCCGTATGCCAACTGCACCCTTTACTTAAACCTGGTGCTTTAAATGTAGCGGCTGTTGGAATTAGTGAGCCAATAAAAATTGAAGATAAATTAGATTTTTGTTAAATCAATTGTTTTAAATATGGGCTTTTAAAATAAGGATTTAAATCTAATTTTTAAAATTAAAATTTAATATAATTTGATTTAAATTATTTATACAAATTTATTATTTTTATATTTTTTAAAGGTGTATTGTGGGGAGAAAAAAGACAACCAAAGTTTGAGTTGAACCAGATACTAGATTTTCTCTTTTAAAAATGACAAAAACATAATATATAATAAATATTTGGGATATTTTTTAATTTTGAACATGGGATATTTACATAGATTTTCCTTGATTATAAATAGTTTTGCTTAATATAAAGCTTTCTATACACCACTAGGTGTGGGGACTTTATATATACCACCTTCTTTGAGCTATACGATCTAAATGGACGGTTAAGATGACCCTAATCATAACGTCAAGCGTAAATACTATGATATTTTTACTTTTCAATAAATGATATTGATACCAGATTTGGGGAGTCCAATCTTCTCTCAAACTCGCATCCACAAAAATTTATAAAAAAACATATTCATTTTAGAAATATTTTTTTATATATAATTTTGGTAGATGTGCCCCATTGATGTGATGACACATACCAAATTTCATATTCATATGATTTATAGAAAACAAAATAAAAATCAAACACTCTAAGATGTGGTTAGTGGTTCATTGGTGACACTATAGCTAAAGTTATCCCATCCATCCATTCAAATCAGAGAGCTGGTAGAGAGCGACATATATAAAATTCATTATATTTTAGTGGCATATAGAAAACTTTCCCTTTACTCAAACCTGGTCCTTTAACTATAGAAATCGGCTGGAATCACTGAACCAATAAAAATTGAAGAGAAAACAGATTTTTCCAAATCAATTAATTTATATTCAGTGATGCACTTTAACAAAAAATGTAAAAGTTGACAAAATAACGTCTCATGCAACAATAGATTTATTATTACTTTCTAATTGAATAAATTTATCTCTATATTTAAGAAACGTATGACTCAAATTGCAACCACATTTCAATAAAAACATAAAGGAAAAATGTCTTCTTATATTTTTGAATATATATGGATTATGTCAGCCCACAGGTTAGCAGCTACAGTGTCAGCCAACAACCTAGATTGAATATGAGCTGATCAGACGGTGATTACCTTATTTTGTATTTAAATATTTATTTTTTTATTCTACAAATTTAAATTATTTGAAGTTTTAGACGTTCATTATTCTCTTCAAAACGCACCTAATAAAAATATAAAAAAATAATTCGTAAAATATAAATCGATAAAAATACCTCCAAAACTTTTCGATGGTATTTTGATCACTTTATATTAAATATTTTTTATATTTTTATTAGATTCTTTTACTTTTGAAGTTTAGACTCTCAAATTTTTAAGTGATTTTGATTTGTATAAAAAAAAATGAAAAATGAAATACAAAATGAGGTCGTGTCTATTAGATTGGACCCATATTAATCTGGGTCGTTGGCTGACAGGATCTTTACCCCATATATATATATAGGATAATCTAAACTTCACAACCCTTCAATTTACAAATGTTTAAAATAGAGAGAGTTGTGAAGAGTGGATTTATTAATTTTATAGTCTATTTTTTTTTAAAAAAAGTTACTTTTATGGGGCAATTTTGTAAATATTACTACAAAACAAAAGTTATTTTTGTCATCTCCATAAGGAGTAAAGTTGAAATTTTAACTAAAAGACAAAGGCACTATACAAAAAAAATTCCAGGAAAATAACTTCTAAAATACGATTGTACTTTTGTGAAAATTTCAAATTTGATGATAACTTCTAAAATGCCATT